GGCCAGTGATCAGGTGAGGTCGTAACAGAACCAAGGAGGTGCTGGTACTAGGTTGCCAGATAGGGCGATGCACCTGAGAAGCTGAAGCAGAAGGATTATGAGTTTGAACCCACACTTAGTTCTGAGCTATATAGTGAACCCCTGACTCAAAAATGAATGCGTGGATGAAGGAACTTAAAGCCTAAGTAAATTAAGTTAATGAAAAAGATAAATGAAGAGGAGGAAGGAGAGATTACATTCTGAAATAGCAAAGGGATCTAGCAACACAAACCAGCAGTGCTGGGAGGGTATGTTTTGGTCGGGATTTAAACAGTGACAGATAAAGGAAAACAGGACACAAAGCATTCTCAATGATATAGTCTATCTGAACATCTTAGGAGAGACCCTAGGAGAGGACGCTGACATCCTATAAAGGGCTCCCAAAAGCTTCATAACAGGGTTTGCCCATGCTGGTCGAAGGACCAACAAGAAGTTCATTAGCAAGCGGGAGAAAGGGGGATGAAAAAGAAGCAAGCATATCTGAATGAGCTCAGAGGTAAGCCCACAATCAGAGGACACACCGCTTATCAAACCCGGCCAAGATGTGGACTGAAACGTATCACTGAAAACCTTTAGACCCTTACATGTGTTTCAGCTAATGGTAGACGACAGCATCACAGACCTTGTTCCCTGGCATCAGTGGGGAGAGACCACAAAAAATAATAGAATCATTTGGTGGAGCTTAGCTACTAGAAGCAAGGTCAGGATGGCCCACCCCTCAGAAAGTGATGTAAATTACTAGAAGACAGAATTTCTAGGGACAATATGTATTATCGCATGGCTGGTGTCATTCAATCTGTACCCCAAAGAATCTACGCTGTATGATCAAGAGATTCTCTACTTCCTGGACCTAAGTTAATATGTGGATTCAGCATCTACTGGGTAAATACTAAAGCACCCTGAAATACCAAAGAAGCACTTTTAACGATGTTTTCCCCCAGAACCTTCCCACAGAGAGCATACAACCTTTCACATGAGTGGGTGAGCATACACAGGGACAAGGGCTATGTTCATGGTTCAGGGACTGCTGACCCCAGGTTCTGGGTTGACAGCTTCATCTGGGACTGAGAAGTACTGTCAAGTCTCCCTGCTAAGAAGGAGTGTACAGGACCATTAAGTGAATGGAATCACTGGCCTACGTCCAGCTCAGAGTGTCGACTGGGTCCCATCCGGCACAGAAACTTTGGTTCCTGATTGTATAATTAAAATATATGCAGATGGTAGCTGACCCTGCATTCGGTCCTTGGCTTGTAACTAATGATCAAAGTAGGAAAAGTGAAACAAAAGCCACTTAAATAAATACTTTACTGGCCACAGCAGCAAATTAAAAAAAATATTCCACCCCAGGAAGATGTAGAATGCAGAAACTTACAGTCATTAAATACCTTAAGGAGGCAGGGGTGACAAGCTACATTTTCCCTTTAATTTGTCTGTCTGGTCCAGTACCATGAGGCCTCATTCATAAGATCTGGTCTAGCTATTGAGTCTGGAAAAAAATTCAAAGAGAGAACATCAGACCAAATCTAAACTTGTGATAAAACAGTATTCCTGAGGAAATGAACAGTTTGGGAATGTTTTTGAAGGGTCCATAATTCTCCTTGTTCAGAATCAACATTTGGGTATAGGTTTGCCTTTTGAGCTTGTAAACCTTTCTCTAAAACTACTATTCAAGGATTTTCAAATGAATCATCAATAGACATTATTAATGGTATAATATTATGTCAAGAAACTCATTTCCTAGTAAAGGGGACAAGTTGAGGGTGCGTGGCTGGATTAACTGGTCCTATCACGAACTGTATGACTCAGCTCTGCCATGTGCCAGAGTAATGAAATGGCCATTGGAGGAATCATCTGAAGCACCGGGTATGAGTTGTGACTTTGTGAAAACATTCATCATCTCCCAGAATACCATAAACATGCTGAACCAATGATCATTATTTAGTGTTATGTCCCAATATGTAGGATTTATTGGTTTGGGAACAAAGGAGCCGAGGATGTTCTTATTTGCTGTAACTTCTAATATCCACTTGGGGAATTTGTGCCTCTTGTCTTCACTATTTTGGACTCAGCAGGTTTGGGACCAGATCCTCCAAAGTAGGGAATCTTCAGCAGAATCTTCACCAGATGCATTCTAAGTCTCCTGAAAGTGTTCAGCTGTCACTGTCCTCTGGCCACCTTGGGAGTCTGAGTTCAAAGGGAAGCAGAGAAGGATGGAAATCAGTACCTTAGACAAATAATTAACTAGAGATAGGGTATCTTCTATACAACCAGGACTCGAAGGAGAAGGTTTGACCTCCAGGGCATTCACCATGTCATCTTTTGGTACCCCCTGTCGTCTAGTATTAACATTAAACAGATTTTATATCCATACTTCCTCATGAAGGAAGGTCAAGACTAGCCTGCTATGCATAGCTAGAAGGTGAGGAATTTATAGAGTTGGTAAGGAGCTGGAAAGGATGACTATCTGAGGGACTAACTGCAGCATCAGCAACTAATCTATCCTTCCCATCTTCATCTTCTTATGGCATAAAAAGAAATTTGGAATCTTATATGAGCTCATTCCAGTTGTGTTGAACTTGGTATCTAAAACCTGTGATTCTGAAAAGCAACTGCAGCAACTGTGAGTGGATGCTGTGCTACTCCACAGACACTCTCTTTCGGAGTGAAGAGCTCATTCTTCCAGCATCCATGGGTCTAATGATCTTCCAAATGGTGAGGAGCAGAGGAGCAAGACAGTGGGAAGGCTGTGAGAAGAGGGACACCTATCAAGATTTAAATTTGGAGTGAAGATGAAAGTTGAGACATAGATAATTTTAGTTTAAAGCCATTTAAAGTCATTCTATCACCCCAGACGGGTTCTTGGTACTAAGAGAAGTCTATGTCTCTCACCTCGCTGCAGACCTTCAGATTTGCGGCGGCAGGCAGAAACTGCTCTCTGGACTGGACTTTGCACTGGACTCAACATGTGGAGGCTGCAGCTGTTCCTCTCTTCTCCCTGGGGGTCCCCTGGGGCATGCCATATTTCTCTCAAACATTCCTGGAATATTTCTTGAAGCATGAACTTTTTAACTCTTTTCCTGTGGAAGATTTTTTCCCCTAGCTCAGTTACAAACTGACATGGGAACTCCCAGAATTTCTGTAGTATACATACCAGAAGGTACTCTCTTTGGTGGTCAGGATCCTGTTCTCATAAGTCTGACCCATGGAAACCCACTCATTTATTTGCTTGCTCCAGAATTTTATTGAAAATAGACTTGGTCAAAGGTACAGCATGAGGTGGAAGAAGCTCTTTGCATTCCAAATGAATAAATCCACTGTGCTCAACTTGGTATACTTGATGATACAAAATGACAAAATGAACCAATTTTTTGTTGTTAATGATATTCATGGCTTTATGTAATACTTTTAAATTATGATATTAGGATAGAAAAGTTGAAATGGGATGGCTGTAGATCCCTAATAAGAGAATGAGAGTCCACAAGAAAAATTCTTTGGAGACAAAACTAATATATAGAATTAGAGATTTACAATTTTCCCTCTGATATTCTAATAACCTGTGAGAAATTCATCATCACCTCTCTTATATCAAAGGGAATTAAGATCCAAGGATGACCAATGAACTTGTTCAAATTTTCTCAGCTTGTCTAAATCAGTTCACGTAGACTGTCTGAGGTCTTTTCACAAGCCTCAGTCTCTGGGGACAATTGTCATCTTTCTGAAAGGCTGAATTTCTCCAGAAGTCAAAGCATGCCTTGTCCAGCCACTGGGCAGAGCAAGAGCTTTGCATTTTCTTAGGAGGGAAGAGACTGATAGCAGCTGTTACACCCTACTCCATTCCCAACGCCCCACCCTCTGACATCATGGGTGTATAGCTCATTTCTGGAAGGAATCACCTATAAAGGATCCACCCAGCATCATAAAATGAACCCATCCTCTGAGCCAGAGGAATCAGTCCCTGATCCCAAAGCAAAGCAAGAAGTCAATGGTTTCATGAACTTTAGGCCAGATACCAGAGCCTCGGACTAGGAACTCGGAATCATGGAAAGTATTCCAGTAGTTTCATGCCAGTGATGCAAGATCACAGTTCTGTAGAATAGCCTTTAAATAGATTCAGTAGTGTTAGGAATAAAGTGTCAGTACTTAGCCTGGCAAGCAAGGTCACTCATGACCCACGAGTTCCATCTGCCCCTCTTTCCTTACCACTCATGTGTTTAAAGACATGAAACGGCCCCAAGTGTCACATGTCATGGAGTTATTGCAGAAGCTGGTCTTTCTTAGTGTTGTTTTCTCTTTTTATTCCTCCACTGTCTGGATAATTCTAACTCCAGTCTCACATATTCTATGAGACGTCTTCCTGAAAGTTCAAGCATAGTTAAGGTACTCAGCTTGGCACCATAAAGATTTGGCATTGTAATTGTGTATTTGTCCACCCTTAGGTTGTGAGTGACACAGGCCCAGGGAGCACACATTAAAAAAATTACAGCATCCTCAGGACTGAGCAAAGATTGGCTGTTACTATCAACAAAGTGTCTGAAGAGTTTGTGGACACACACATCATCATCAGAGTGACATTTCTTCTAGGTTTGATCACTCAAAGGTGGTGTACCACATCTACTGTCCTACTTCTCAGCCTACTTCTGATTCCAATTGGTAAATACATCTTGGGGGTTTTCTTCCTCTTCATCCAGTTCTTACTCAGTTACTCTTCCTTCCATGATACAGTGAAGAGTTTTGGATTAATTCTGTTGGCAGAGGAAATCTCAAACCAGTCCAATAAAGACTCTGTTGCATGGATATTAGGGGTAACTGTAATGAAGATTTATAATGAAAAAGAACAAACTGAGAAAGATAAATTACAAAAAAGTAAATTTTGAGGCAAAGAAGAACACCGGGAAGTAGAATGGAGCTAAATTCTATGTTCAAGGAATAAATGGGTTAAGAAATGAAACAAAGGGGGGCGCGTGAGCTGAGGCGCTGGCGGCCTGGGAAGGAGGATTATGAAGCTTCCGAACATCCTGCTCACCGGTACACCCGGGGTTGGAAAAACTACACTAGGCAAAGAACATGCTTCAAGATCAGGACTGTAGTACGTTAATGTGGGTGATTTAGCTCAAGAAGTCTGATCACCGGATATCATGGAGTCTGGCAAGATGGCGTCTCCAAAGAGCATGCCGAAAGATGCACAGATGATGGCCCAAATACTGAAGGATATGGGGATTACAGAATATGAACCAAGAGTTATAAATCAGATGTTGGAGTTTGCCTTCCGATATGTGATCACAATTCTAGGTGATGCTAAAATCTATTCCAGCCAAGAAAGCTACTGTTGATGGAGACGATGTGCGATTGGCAATCCAGTGCCGGGCCGACCAGGCTTTCACTTCTCCTCCCCTGAGGGATTTTTTATTAGATATTGCAAGACAAAGAAATAAAACCCCTTTGCCATTGATCAAGCCATACTCAGGTCCTAGATTGCCACCTGATAGATATTGTTTAACTGCCCCAAACTATAGGCTTAAGTCTTTGCAAAAAAAGGCACCTACTCCTGCAGGAAGAATCACAGTTCCGCGATTAAGTGTTGGCTCAGTTTCTAGCAGACCAAGTACTCCCACACTAGGCACACCAACTCCACAAACCATGTCTGTCTCAACTAAAGTGGGCACCCCAATGTCCCTCACAGGACAAAGGTTCACAGTGCAGATGCCTGCTTCCCAGTCCCCTGCTGTGAAAGCTTCCATTCCTGCAACATCAACAGTTCAGAATGTTCTGATTAATCCATCGCTAACTGGGTCCAAAAACATTCTGATTACCACTAATATGGTATCTCAGAATACAGCCAGTGAGTCAGCAAATGCACTGAAAAGAAAACGGGATGATGATGATGACGATGATAATTTGTAATCTAGTCTTGATGCATGTAACATGTACACTTGGTCTTGAATCCATTGTACTGAAATTAAGCAAGCATGTTAGATGTTCTAAAGCTGTATTTTAGAAAATGCTATTTAATAAGTATGCTTTCCATGCTTTTCAATTGAAATGTTGAGTTTTAATAGAGCTAGTAATGGTTTTTCATCAACTTTTATGCATAAAAAATAAAATTGTCATTTACCACTTTGAAAAAAAAAGAAATGAAACAAAGGGAGTGGTGACCTCAAGGCAAGATCCTACCCTGCTAAGTTTCCAACTTGTAGAAAGAAACTAAAGAAAAGCTTAGAGTTGGGTGTGGTGGGGCACATCTTAAATCCTAGCTCTGGAAAGGCAGAGGCTGGCAGATCTCTAAGTTTGAGGGCAGCCTAGTCTATAGAGCAAGTTGCAGAACAGCCAAGCAGAGGCAGTAAAGGAAGGAATGCTGCTTAAGATGTAATTGAATCGGGGATATGCTTCCTCCCCAGGAAGCAGCAGAACTTGGCAGTTTCAGCCTCGTGGGTTCTGACTTTAGAGTTAAGGATAGAAGAAAGGAATTATGGAATAAAGCTGCTGAGGTCAGATACATATGAGGGGAGTTTCTGAATGGAGACCTAGTAGAGAGACCATTGCATGAAGCTGTGAAATTGAAGCCTGGATTGTCTTGGAGAACATGAGATGTCAGAGATGCCAGAGTTGTGGAATGCTTGCAGAGGAGAGGTGCTAACAGGAAATGTAATCATCCCAGGAGAAAGAAGACTGTTGCAGTCAACAAAACTGAATGGAGTTGGAGATATGGAGAGCGTTTTGGCATCAAACGTGGAGATGTAGAGTTTGGAGTTTGTCCAACTGGTTTTCGGTCTTATTTTGGTCCAGTATTTCCTTACTTACTATGTTCCTTTGCCTAGGTTTTGGAAGGCTTCCCTATTTTAGGAGACTGCTTGTTTGTTCCCCAGTCACCCAGACTCCTGAAATAACCACACAGAAACTGTATTAATTAAATCACTGCTTGGACTATCAACTTTAGATTCTTATTGGCTAGCTCTTACATCTTAATTTAACCCATTTCTCTTAATCTGCATTTTACCACATGGCTGTGGCTTACTGGCAAGGTTCCATCCAGTGTCTGTCTCTGGCGGAGTTACATGGCTTCTCCTTGTCTCTGCCTTCTTTCTCCCAGCATTCAGTTTAGTTTTCTCTGCCTAACTCTACTCTGCCTTATTACAGGCCAATGCAAATTCTTTATCCATTAATCAATACAAACAACACATATACAGAAGGACCTCCCACATCACTTCCCCACCATGGAAAGTGTGAGTATTAACACTTTGTTGTCATTGTCATTCAGTTTGCTTAAAACAGCATGAGCAAAGCCTTATGAATAACAAATGGTACTGTAGCATCAAGATAGAGATGTTACCAGTTGAGAAGATTTTTCATCTCTCTTATGTTTTATGGCCTACATAGACCACCATAGAGTGAGACATTGCTATGTGGTACCTAATTGTGTTACAAGTTCCTAAATAAGATGGGTCATTTTAAGCATCTGGAGCATGAATATTATTTGAGTTGATCTGGATCACTAACTAGGTCATAAACCCTGGAGAAGAAGCTACTGCTATTGTTCTGCTAAATGGACAGTGAATCTTTCACCCCGCATCAGAGAGGCTTCTTTTTAAAGAAGGTGGCAGCTAATACAGAAATCCACAATTGGTCAGCATACCAAGAACAAGAATAAGAACCTGGGTGCTGTAGGACTATCGCCTGTACCCTGTCATTTGTATTTTAAATAAATGCTGATTGGCCAGTAGCCAGGCAGGAAGTATAGGCAGGGTGACCAGGCAGGAAGTGGGGCAATGAGAATTATTGGAAGAGGGAGGTTTCAGTCTGCAGTCATCACCCAGACACAGAGGAAGCCAGATACAGAGCAAGCAAGATGTGACTGCCTCGCCAAAAAAGATACCAAGCCATGTGGCTAACACAGATAAGAATTATGGCCTAATATGAGTTATAAGAGTTAATAAGAAGCCTGAGCTAAAGGGCCAATCAGTTTATAATTAATGCAGACCTCTGAGTGTTTCTTGGGACTAAATGACTGCAGGATCAGGTGGGACAGAAACCTTGGTCAACACCTGGGAAAGGGTTGTGTAAAACACTTGGACCACAGAGTCTATTTTCATGGCCACCTCGATAGTGGAGGGTCACTGTGGTGGAATGACTGTAAGTAGACAGATTCTGAAAAGAGAGTCCCCACCCATAGGAGGTCATGCTTGACCGTTCACCACTTCACCAATCAGGTGGCTCACTCTCAGAAGTGGAGTCAACGTGACCACATCTGTCTTTCTTCCTGAATGAGGCAGGATTTTCTGTTCTCTCATCTACTCCTTCCTTTCTAATGCTTGGCACATGGCAAGGCCAAACAGGTGAGTTAGTTGTAGTGCATTTTAGTGTGTGTGTGACTTTGGAAGCCTTCACAGAGGAGTTGACCTTGGTAACCTGTTTCTGCAGGGAGACACCAGAGGCACTGATCTTACCTGGGGCATCTTACAACTGTGGGGGTTGCCTGTTGCCTGTCACAATGTGCTGTGAGTCCCCCCAGAGCCTAGTCTCACAGTTCTGCTTCCTTTGGATGCCTAGATCTTGGTACAGATCCTAAAGCAATATTTAAGACATGTGTGAAGAAACACACCTCGCTTCCTTTATTTAATCTCAAGTATTATGTCTAGCCTTGTAAAATTTCCCATTTCTCACGAATCTCAGTATCACCTTGGGTGACATTTACACACATGATGATGACCCTATAAGGTTGTAAAAGAGGCAGACATTGCTGGCCCAACTGCACAGTCTCCAAGGTGAGCCTGAATGTGCCTGCTGAAACCACACCTTTAGGCCTGGTATTATACTCTACTAATTTGGTTTTGAAAACATGTGCTTTTGTCCTTGTTCAAATATTGATTTGAGATAACTTGAGCTTGACAGAAAAGACCTTTTCCGGGGTCAGTGGGATTGTTTGTTGTCTTAATGACATTTCTGCGTGTATGTAGAACATGGACTGATAGTCAAGTAATCATTTCCATGGAAGATTTATGAGACTTTATGCTTTGGAAGATATTATGACAAATAGTCAATGAAGACACAGGCATAAATCAGGCCAACAAAAGAGAGATTGGAAATTTTTCTAATTGCCTCCTACCCCCTCATTTGCAGCTGGAGTTAGGGCTGTTGGACTAGACACTGGGCTTTATGACAAGCATCCTCCTCTGGTTTCCTGGGAGAATGAAGAAAGGCAGGTGATGTGGGATTCCCCTTTATATGCTATGAATATGTTTTATTACCATTGGTTATTAAAGAAGCTGTTTCAGCCAATGGCTTAATAAAGCCAGTCAGGAAATTCTAACAGAGATGCAGAGAGAAAGTAGACAGAGTCAGGGGGATGCCATGTAGCTGCCAAAGGAGGCAGATGCCTGGGAATTTAGTCTGTAAGCCACAACATTGGAGTTCTACATAGATTAATAGAAATGGTTTAATTTAAGATATAAGAGTTAGCTAGGAATATGCCTAAGCTATTGGCCCAAAACAGTGTTGTAATTAATATGCCTTCTGTGTTCAGGCCTGAGCAGCTGAGAAACGAATGAGCAGTCACCACCTACACAGGGGAAAGGAATACTTTGGGGTCAGTGCAGGTGGAGTTTTTTGTCTAGACTGCCAATCAGTTTCCCCTGTCAACCTTTTCCCAAATAGTCACACAAAGACTTATTATTAATTGTAAATGCTGGGCCAATAGCTCAGGCCTATTACTAACTAGCTCTTACATTTTAAATTAGCCCATATTTCTTATTTATCCTCTTCTACGTGGTGGTACATTTTTTAATTATCATTTCTTGATCCCTCTGTGTCTGACTTTGCTCTTCTTCCCAGTGTCCTTAGTTTGGTTCTCCCACCTAACCTTATCCTATCCAGCCATTGGCCAGTCAGTTTCTTTATTAAGCCAATCACAGCAACATATATTCACATAATGTAAAGGAATATTTCACAGGTCAGACTCTGAGCAGGCAGGGTTCCATGACTCTAAAATGGGTTTTACAACAAGAATTTTTACTTCTGCAGTTCAAAACATAGTTTGAAATAATGTATAGTAAAGATCCAAAGCTATAATAACTAGCATGCCCTGGATCCTACTAGGAAACAGAGGGGTGGCTCAAGCAGAGTTATGGGCTGTTACGAAAGGAATCAAGGGAAACCTATATAAGATGTTGAGGTAGTGGGTACTGGGGACAGCACCTGGAAAGAGCAGAATGCTCAGAATTCTAGGCCTCAGCATTGGGCTAACTTGATAGTAGCTAAAGTGGTAAGTGGAGGAATCCCCCTGCCAAAGGTATAGTTCCTGGGGGCAGGGGAGGGCTAACCTCTCTCCTCTGTTCCAAGGTCTCTTGGAGATACCTCCCATTGGGTCTATGTACTCTATAAAGTTTGGCTTCCACGTTTGAAGGAAGGAGATTAGCATTTTGGGGATGAATGGAGATAATCCACTCTGTATCCGGAGTCATGTATGGCACTACATGATGGAAGGCCCTACCTCTCTGAACTTTCATCACTTGCCAACCTTCTGACTGGCAGCAATTGGTTTACATGGTTTAGCAAGAAGGACTTTGGTAATTTTGTTCACCTTTCTTCCCATGCTATGAACAATGATTCCGTGTCTGACCAAACAGGGGAAGCCAGTCACTGAAGTCCACAAGGAAAGAGTATTGGCTATGAAATGTATGTTAACTAAGAGCATGTGCACTGAGTCTATGCACAAAGAGATCTTTGTATTGACTGTTCTTAATGTCTGGTGGCTTTGGGCAAGCTACACCACCTCTCAGAGTCTCTGTTTCTTACCTGTGAAATGTAAAAAAAAAAAAATCCTGTAGTATTTGGGCAATGCCATAAAGCATGTAGTGCATCATTTAGGGCTGAGTGCATGGGTAGACTTTGTCAGCAGCAATGATTCTCAGATTCAGAATACT